ATTATTATATTAAAGGCAACAGTTAACTGCCTCAAAAAGGCAGACTTTGCTGCCACTTACAATTTATTTTTATTTTTTTTTATTATAAAGGCTCGCGGGTTCACGGGTCGGCTCGGGCAAAGCCCGTGTCCCCAAAATGGGTTTGGCCTGAGCCTTGGCTTGGGTCTACCGAGCCCGAGCCGGCTAGGCTTGAGCTTTTCTTGGGCCAAGCCATGAATGATCTGAGTCGACGAGGCCAATAGACATCCCTAATCTTACCTAGTTCCGGCTCTGGCTTTTCTTGGGTCGAACCACGGATGATTTGAGTCAACGAGTCCAATAGACATCCCTAATCTTACCTAGTTGGCCGAATAAATATCCTTAACAATATCAAGTGACTATCTCGTGTATCATGTGTAGACGATGAAGAAGATTGGCTAGCAAATAATTTCTCTTTGGCACACAATATTTTCACAAACTTAAGTACCGTTGAGATTCTGAGATTACTCTTTTAGAGATTGAAAGTTTAGTAACGAATTTGAAGCGGATTAACTATGTTTCAAATTTATAAAACCAAATGAATAAAAACTTATTAACGTCAGTAAATCCTCAACGCTAATATTACTCATTAACTATTATCTTAATATTATTATTATTATTATTTTTAAACTATTACCACGTTTGGGGAAAAAATTTCTTCTTTGGCCTCCATTAATTTTTATTACATTACATTTTTCTCTCTCCTATTTTCAATCACAATCTTTCACAAAATAATATTACACATAAATTGAAATTTTTTTTTTCTTTTTTCAATCACTTATTTTTAGAAAAAATATTATTCCATTCATTTTTAATTCTACAAAATGGGTGCCGGGGGTGAAGGAGCAGTTGTATCAGTTTTCACGTAGGGTGGGCTACTGGACCTTGCAGTCACATATCTTACAGTGTACGTGAACTTGAGATGCAATTCAAATTGAAGTCCGACAGAGGTCAAGACATGTAGTTGTCTACTCTGTGGCTGCACAGAAATATGTGATGGTTTCACTCTCTCGGAAGCTGATTCTACCTATTATCAGACCTCCACTCGTCATTCGCCAACCCACCAAATTTCCACAAGAGGAAACGCCATTCATACCATTTTCACAGCTCCAACAAATTAAACAATTAGAATATCAACTCACACACACCCTCGACAGCTGCACAACCCTCACCAAAGTTAAGCAAGCCCACGGTTACATAATCCGCAAAGGCCTCGGCCAGTGTTCTTATATCATAGCAAAGCTCCTCCGAGTTATCGCTAAAATCAATGTCCCCATGCACCCTTATGGAGTTTTAGTGTTCTCCCAAGTGAGACATCCAAACCCTTTCCTCTACACGGCTTTAATACGAGGGCTCGCGATTGACGGGCTGTTCAAGGAATCAGTTCTTGTTTATAGTTCCATGCGGAAGGATGGTGTTACGCCCGTATCGTTCACATATACGGCCATGTTAAAGGCATGTTCTAGTCAAATGAATGTCCATTTGGGACGGCAGATTCATGGGGAGAGTGTAAAGTTAGGTGGGTTTGGCTTGGATATGTTTGTTGGCAACACTTTGATTGATATGTATGTAAAGTGCGGATGGTTGGATTGCGGGAGGAGGGTGTTCGACGAAATGCCTCACAGGGACTTGATTTCGTGGACCTCATTGATTGTTGCTTATACAAAGAACGGTGATATGGATTCTGCAAGGGAGTTGTTTGATGGGTTGCCTGTGAAGGATATGGTGGCGTGGACTGCAATGGTGACAGGGTTTGTACAGAACGCAAAGCCAAGGGAAGCATTGGACTATTTTGAGAGAATGCAGAGAGCAGGTGTAGAGACTGATGAGGTAACATTGGTTGGTGTTATTAATGCTTGTGCACTGTTGGGCACGAGTAAGTATGCAAATTGGGTGAGGGATGTTGCGGAGCGGTCTGGGTATAGTCCCAAGGACAATGTAGTTGTTGGCTCGGCTTTGATTGATATGTACTCGAAGTGTGGAAGTGCGGAGAGTGCATATGAAGTTTTTAAGATGATGCAGGAAAAAAATGTGTATACGTACAGTTCGATGATTGTTGGTTTTGCAATTCACGGTTGCGTTAGTTCCACCCTAGAATTGTTTGAGGAGATGGTCAAAAAGGATGTGATGCCCAACCATGTGACTTTTGTTGGGGTTCTTACTGCATGTAGTCATGCAGGATTGGTAGAGAAAGGTCAACACATGTTCAAAATAATGGAGAAATCATATGGTGTTAAACCATCTTATGATCACTATAATTGTATGGTGGATCTCCTCGGAAGGACAGGACGATTGGAGGAAGCACTGAAGCTTATAAGAAGCATGCCGATAGAGCCCAATGCTAGCATATGGGGAGCTCTGCTTGGTGCTTGTCGTACGTATGCAAACCCTGATGTTGCGGAAGTTGCTGCTAGACATTTATTTAAGCTGGAACCTGATGGTATTGGAAACTATATCTTGCTTTCAAATATTTATGCAAGAGCAGGAAGGTGGGAAGATGTTTCGAAAGTAAGGAAATTGATTAGAGAAAAGGGGTTGAGAAAGAATCCGGCATTTAGCTGGGTTGAGGGAAGCAAAGGGGTGATCCACGAATTCTATGCAGGTGATTTGACCCATCCTAGGTCTAGAGAAATTGACCAGGCCATGGAGGATCTTGTTGACAAACTAAAATTAAATGGTTATAGTCCAAATCTAAGCTGTGTGCTTTATGATGTGAGTGATGAAGAAAAAAGGCGAATTTTGATTAATCACAGTGAGAAGCGAGCTTTGGCTTATGCGCTGCTCACTACTGATGATGGCCTTCCTATTAGAATTGTGAAAAATCTAAGGATATGCGAGGACTGTCATTTATTTGTGTGTGGTGCTTCTCAAGTTACTCAACGGGAGATTATAGTCAGGGATAATATGAGATTCCACCATTTTCATGATGGGATGTGCTCCTGCCATAACTTTTGGTGATCGAAGTGAGAATGTACAGAAGTGTGTTTGTTTGCCAGAATGATACCTAGATTCTCAATTGATGGAAGCTAGGACTGCAAGAGCTATTTCTTTTCAGACAAGTGAATAGGATGTTTACCTTCTCCAAGTTATGCCCTCCAACGGGAGGTTGCTTAAATTTTTCTGCATACTTGGTTAACTAGGATAGTTCCTACCAGAAGCCAGCACTTGAAGCTACTTATGTCTTTCAATTGAGAGGTTATTGAAATTTTGTGGTGTAACTTATTTAGTTAAATGGGAGGGTTCCTGGCAGAAAATGAAGAAATAAAGATTCAAGTTAGTAAAAGTTTTCCTTTTTCAGTGTCTTTGGCTACTATGGCCTGTCATAATTCCTTCCTGCTACATTTAGCACCTGAAAATAAGGCAGAAACGATGGTTCGCTCTCTGGATCATATCAGTGTGTAAGGCTTCAAGGTCCTTCAATTAATCAAAACAGATAACTGCTTGACAACGTAAGTTCTGGAATGGTTTTAGCAATACTTTTACTTTGAGTTCTGATTCGTATATCATATATTTTTCAAACTATGTTATACAATTTAGTTATTGACTATTAGCGGATGCTTCCTATCCAGATTGTAGTCAATCTAAATATCACCTTCGATTTACTATCATTCATGGCAGCTTTGGTTTACATTTCGATTTCGTTCCTCTGTAGTTATCATCGGCTGAGCAGAGCAGAGCAGAGCAGAGCAAGATTTTTACTTCATAAGAATTTGACCCGCTTGTGCAAAACCAAGCATCCATGTCATCAGAATTGAATTGATTGCCATGGATCAGTACATGTTGTAAATATATTTACAAAGACCTAAACATCATATGTTTTGGTCATCTGCTGAGATTCCACCCCGAATCCTAAACAAACCTTGTTCAGTTCAAGTGGAAAGTGAACGAAAATGCATATATCAATGCTAGCCCTATTTCGGCCTTCTAATCTCAGCCACTGATTTAATGGGACATACACTAATGAGTTTCTTCAAATTTGAATATTGGCAACGAGTACAGTAGATAGAGGGAAACTCTGAATATTAGATAGACCTCAAAATAACAGGGGTCAAGTTTGGCCAGTGAGATGATGGCGGACAAAAGAATGAAGAAAATTGTGGAAAATCGAAAAATTATACAATATTTAACTTATGTAACATGTTGGGATTATTTAGCTACTACGTTCACAGAAGCAATAAACATGAGGAATACAATTGGGAGGATAAGATTAGTGATGGACTATGCTACATCCACAAGCTCCTCCCTGCATCTAACCAAGTTATATGTAGAGAGAAAAAGAGCAAAAATTGTAGAGATTGAGAATGGTCTCATAGATCAAAGCATGTAAAAGCAGATCAACATTTCATCCATGTACGCCGATTTGGATGGTTGAAGTGAAACCAGACCATTCCACTTGCCATTCGCATTATCCTAGGTTGCAATTGTAGAAAGCTTGCTTTAAATAAGCAAATCTTGACTTCTCTCATTCAGGACTAAAAGGAGGTGACTACTCTTTGCTAACGGGCAAATGCAAATGTACTAGTACTCGTTCTCGCTGAAAGGTGCATGAACAACAGTGATTTAAGAACTGTTTGTATCCACTGGAAGTCAACAGCGGACGTCCTTACCTAAGAATTAAATAAGCTTCTGTTTCAAGAAATACTTCGTAAGCTGAGAAAAATGGATATTTATCAACTAAGTTGCTGCGTGTGATCCTTAATCAGACAAGAAAAGGTGTTAATTGAACAAGGAAAACTGTACGGACAATCCTGCCAGCTGATAGTTGGAATGATATTTATTTATTTATTTTGTTTACAATTAGATCATACGCGTAGAATCGCCTCAAATTTATTTCCAAATTATTTCCAACTTTCCATCCCAGATAGTGGATAGTATTCGAGTATAAATTATCAAATTGAACAAACTTGCGGTTGCAACTGATATGAAGAACCTAACTATCACTAGTGCCCAGCCGCCTTTTAAATTGGCCTGTATATACATGCTCGAATATTCGCGGCGGTTTTTCATGTCGCGAGTATAAAGTGATTTTTGTTGGAATTTACGGGATAAGTTTTATAGGTGTGAATTGAAAAAGTTTCCTATTGATTCGATTACTAGTCGCAACTTTTTGAATACAAATTGTGCGAATCAAAGAGTCATGCTATTTCGAATTGTAATGTGACTATAAAAAAAGGTACATTACAAAAAGTCAAGACCTTTTGATTGGGTACTTAAATATAAAAATGTGTGATGTAATGATCCACATTTATAGCAAAAGATGCAACTATTCCGAAAAGACACGAGAAAATATATAAATATGAATTCTTACTTCCATATTTCCGCTCCAAATCAGTTTAAGATTACATGTCATAGAAAATTTTGTATGACGATGAAAATGTTGAAAGCCCTTCCACATACGATAAAGTTATAAAAAGATGAGATTCTTAACCAAAAATTGGGTAACGTCGGCGGTCCTAAATATGAAAGTGCATGATTTTTTATAAGACGTGAACATTCTTAGTCATTTATATTTTGACTAAAGGTCGAAAATTTTTATCTGACAATTAAATGTAATTAACGAAAAGATTGAACTTTATATAGTTAATGAATATTATGTTGCTAAACTCAGTGTTATTCAATATTGTAGGGGTAGGATTATTGTTTGCGTCATATTCTCAATTAAAGTTTAGATGCACCCCAGGACTTGTGCGTGCTCGCGATTTTTACTTCAAATTAGCATTTAGAATGTATAAAGAATATTTGAAATGATAAACTGCATTGCAATGAATACTCTATTAAACTTAAGAAGTAAACGATGTTGAAAATTGAATATTCAATACAAGAGTTCAAAATTTATTAGTCAATATTTTTTACTATTGAGATTGTAGTTGTTTCGTGAAAGTCTTCCACAACTTGAAAATGGGAAGATTAAATTAGAGGTTTAAATAAAATCAGATGGAAGCATGAGACTTCAAATTTTATTTATTTTCTTATATAAAATTTCAAATTGGTGACTGTTCTGCGGAAAATTGGATCCGGATTAATCCGATACCAATTTGTTGGAGAAAATATGAGATTATAGGTACATATCAAATAAAGATCACAAAAACACGAGAACAATATAATTGCAAAGAATGAAGATTTATTATAATATGGAGAAAGAATACAAAAATTTTGTATTTACAACATTTCTAACTTCTGATGAGGTTAGACAACCTTAATTAAATTTTGGAGAAGAGCCGAATATATATAGGAATCAGGTAGGGGACGTCCAAACCCTAATAGTAGAGTTGTAGGTGGAAATGAATGCTTCAATACTAAATGAGCAAGGGCCAGATAATTATGTCACTCGAGCTCCAGGCAGACGCCAAGTCTTTGTTGAAATTTTGACATCGCCGCTCGAGTGCCAAGCTAGGGATAGTAAGTGAAATTGAAGCGACTTTTCTCAACCCATAATTTGATCTCTTCAAATTCAACACAATTTTCAACTCCCAATTAGACTTCCAAATGAAATTTCAACTAGAATTGCCAAATAGATTTCGAATATGATTCTAAATAATATTCCGAATAGAATTAAGGTCACAACCAAATTTTAACAAATTCAACCTTGACACGAATTCCACTGCAGTGAACAAACTTCATCTATTGCAAAGAATAAACTTCAACTCTCTAACAAAAAAAAATAAAAAATAAATAAATAAATAAATAAATAAAAATGAAATTCTTGATGAAAAAAAATTTCCAATTGAAAATATTCTCTACCTCTGTCACCCCAACTAGGCACCAGACAAGGCTGAAACAAGCCCTATAATAGAATTGTAATTGAATGAATAAAAAGAAGGATCTTGATTAGAATCAACACTATTAACTCAATTCAAAACATTAACTAAATAGCAAAAATGTACCTATTTGAAGTCTTATAACCAAAAATGGGTCTGTTACTAGCAACTGAATTCAATAACACTACCGATAAAGGTGGCAAGGTGGATTTACTTGTAACTTTTGAATTCAAATGAGATATATTCTTTAAAAAAAGATCACAAACTAGACTCCAATGTTACGGAATTCAACTCCTAATCTGCCTAAGTTTTTAAAATATGCTGATTGCTAAAAAAACTCTATATAACAAATCAAGATATATAAATGATATTTTTCTATGTCTCTTTAACAAAACACTAGCTCCTTTTACTGACCTTTAGGACTTCACTTTCAACAGTGTACCTGTACCTTTTTGTATCAAGAGTACTTATGAAGAAGAGATTTTTCTTCAGCTATAGAGCGTATCTTACTATATCAAGTGTTCTAACCATCTCATCAAACATTTTTATTCTAACCTAGCCAATACCAGCTATCTGATAAGGTATATTATTACCCGATCATCACAAAACCTTTTGAAACTTCTTCATATGTTGAAATCAAATCCCGATTGGAAAATATGAAAAGTGAAAGCTCTATTAAGAACCCAAACCTTCTTAGGTTTAGAGCTGTAGTCAGACGTAAATGAAAGTTCTCCATTATTGTTAGAATTTTCTGCAATAATTGCTTTCCCTGAAATTTCAAATTGTTGATTTGTAGTCAACTTTGTTTTATCCTGGCAACTCATGATAATTGTTTATCAAGTGCCCATTTTTCTTGCAATAATTACAAAATTCGAAGTTAGATTTTGATTAATCCCTTGCATGCCACCATCAATAATGAGGCCATCTCTATGAACCTTAGATGCAACAAGATGCTTCATCTTATCCTTTGAATATAGAGCATTATAGACTTCTTCAATGATAAGATTATTACGTTTATATAAAATCGTATCTCTAAAAGACGCATATAAAATCGGTAATGAACACAATAAAATCAATTCATAATCCTTTTCATCACATTTGACCTCCAATGTCTCCTAATCAGTGACGATTTCCTTAAAAATAGTTAGGTGATCTTCAAGAGATGTACTTTCTTTCATACAATGAGAATATAGAAGTTGTTTCATAAGCAATTTGCTAGTAAGATTCATCATGCATAATTGCTCAAATTTTGTCCACAATGCAGTGGCTGACTTCTCTTTCAAAACATCCTATATTATTTGAAACATGAAGATGTATTTGAGATCGGGCCTTTCAACCCTTCCACCATTTCTCCTTCGGAGTCCAAGTTGTGGTCGTCTTCTCAAATCCTAACAATCCATCGTCCAAATCCATTTGAGCAAGTGCTGCTCGCATCTTTACCACAAACAGAATCTTGTATTGCGATCTAATAGTGGAATGTCACACTCTATAGTTGCCATCATAAAAGGTCAAGTTGAGCTCTTAACTTGATCAAAACCTCGAGCTTTGTACGATTTGCAAAACCAAAAGCTCTGATACCAGTTTGTTGTGAGGAAAATTTGAATCGAATTAATCTAATACCGATTTGTTGAAGAAAATATGAGATTATAGGCACAATATCAAATAAAGATCACAAAAACACAAGAATAAAGTAAT